GCTAGGAACAGCTAAGATACTGCGCAGAACCTTCAAACTCCCAGGCCTCTGGTAGAGGACCGGAGATTGAGGAAGACACGCACCACCCATAGGGGTGAGAGGGAATTTTTTTTTTTCAAATTTAGTCACTGCCCATCTCTCAAGGAGCAACTCTGGGTGGTTTACAATAAAACGAGAATAAATACTAATTAAAATACAATAAAAACAATGTATATAAATAAATAATGTATTCCAAGTAATAGATGGTAAATGAAAATTATTAACCTATGGGAGTGTCTTCAGGGTACCAGCCACCCCCAGGGTTGGTTACCCCTCCTCACATCCCACGAGAGGATATATAAATATATCCTCATTTTCTAGAGATGCAGTCCACTTAAGCGCATTTACTGAGAAGTAAGTTTGATTGAAATTGTTGAGCCTCATTTCTAAATAAATATATTTAGGTTTGGGTATGTTGTCTTTTTCAGTTATAATTTTGATACCTTAACTGGAATAAAAACAACATGATTACTGGTTAAAGTGCTGGACTTAGAGCAGACACCCAGGTTCTAGTGCTCCATTAGGCATGGAAGACAGTGAGTGACCTTGGACAACCAGTCACTGCCTTTCAACAATAAATCAGTGACAGGCTCTGCAACAAGCCGGCTGATAAACAAACCCTTCATTGCATCACGGATGAAAAGCTTTGCTGTAAGAAGTAGGGAAGTACAGAGCAAAAACAAGTGCTAAATAACTTGCTAAAACTCCTATAAACAATTATTTACTAGATCATTCATAATATGAAACAATATAACAATTTAAAGATGTTTCCAATTGATCAAGCCCATCAGTTTTTTGTATGTAATCCTTTGATGTTTTTAAAAACAAGTGTTGAACATCTTAATAGCAGGTAATTTCTAATCATGAAAGGAGGTGGATAAGGCTGTATCATATGGATTCACTTAATAACACATTACAACAGTACTTTTTAATCATGCTGCTTAATAAAGAACAATTCTAGAATTATGATAAATAGGCTACTATGGAATAATATAATTACAGTATAGAGTTTCAAAGCCACTAAATCCAAGCCCTTGCTCATTGCAGGAATCTAAATTAAAGCATATGAAAGAGATAATTGTCTAATTTCTGCTTAAATACATCATGGGAAGGGAATCCAGCATTTCTCTGGGTAATTCAACTGTTAAACTCCTCTTATTGTTAGAAAGCTTTTCCTAACAAATCCATCAGAGTCCTCTTACTTGTAATTTAACATTATTCTGGGTGTCCTTTCAGGTATTTCAAGTACTGTAGTATCTCCCCTCAGTTTTCTCAAAGCTAAAGAATCTCAATTCCTTCAATTTCTCTTCATAGGACTTAGGTCTCATCCCCTCTTCATCCTCACTGTTCTTTTCTGAATCCTTCTTAATGTGTGGTGCGAGAACAGGATACAGTATTTCAGTGTTGCCAAACTTGGCCGCTTTAAGATGAGTGGACTTCAACTCCCAGAATCCCCCAGCCAGCATGGCTGGCTG